GAAAGGTGAGTTGTATACTAGCTACCATATCCGATTGATTTCCTAATATAAAGATTTAAAAATAAAGTTGTGTCCTGGTTTTCTTTACTTATCGGACAAAACGCGAGTCGCCAGCTGGCGACCAGTTCTGAAAATTTAGTCACCAGTGCTGAATTTTTGTTCGCATTGGCGACCAGTGAGTTGCAATTTTGAGCCCTGTATACATGTAGATTATTGTCTACTGTTTGTCACCAATATTCCTGTGTTTCTGACATTAGCTTTGTTTCATTTCAGGGAAAAAATGTCCCAGAAGCATTAACAAGTGGAAAGTGGGAGGTTCAAAAGATTCTTGCTCACGACAATATCAACGAGAGAGTGTAAGTAAACAAATTTATTTGTTTTGATATTTACTAGTATACTTTGGAATCCTGCCCAATCTTTTGGTTGGCCAGATGATAGTCTGGGTATTTAGTTACAATTTTGATGAACATGGAACAAATTTAAAATTGTTTTTATTACAATAATTATTATTATTATTCTGGGAAACAGGAAAACCCTGCTTCCAATAAAAAAAAATCTGATTATGTGCTTGTAGCTGAGCTTCTTCTGTCAATATTTACTTAATTTACTGGATACATAATGAGGAAGAAGTCTGAACTTTTAGGATCAGCAATGTTATTAAGACATTTTTTGGGAGAGCAAAGCATACATGTACATATAGAAAGCTGATAAAATCTTAAAGGTAACATGAAAGCCATATCATGAGTGTGATCATCTTGGGGATTGACACTTCTAAGGTTGTATCTGTGCTGTTGAAAGGGTGTGGAATAATATTACTTGCCTAGATTCAGGTACCATCTGGTGTGCAGATTAGGGCCCTGCTGAATCCAGGCATTAAAGTGATTGTCATTTAAATTCCTCATTTCCTTCAACCTTAGGGTGCTAATTTTTTTAAATGTTCTTTCCTCAATACAGATACTTTACAGCCACTAAGGAATCACCAACCCAGCTTCATGTTTACAGGTTAGTTGCTACACTTTTTGAATGATTTCATGCTATCTTTTTTAAAAGAACGTTTGCACTGGGAGCATGTGGCCCGCATTGGCTTTGCATAAGCATGCAGCAACTGCGCTGTCTGTCTGTCTGTATTTCTGTCTGTCTGTCCAGGTGGGATGTTGCATGAGCCCCACTGCAGGCTTAATCCCGTATTTAATTCAGTGGTAAGCACAGACAGGGTGGTCACCATGGCTAATCATTAGCACGCTGGTCTCTGGATCAAGCGATCTGGGTTCAAGTCCTGTCAAGACACTTTACTCTCAAAGACCCCATCTCTACCGTGCTTTTGCAGGTTTCCATTGATCACTCAGCGAGTTCACTAATTTATTCTTTGTTTTAATTTGCAGCGTGGACATAAAAACAAAACAACTTTACTGCTGGAGTTGTGTACCAACAGTAATCGGTGAGTACTGTGCTTCAATTTAAATCATCATGACTATTGTCAGAATTTAAGTCCATTCAAGTGACATTAATGAAGATTGTATACCATGAAATATCACTGAAGACATTGTTTTGGAATACATACATGTACATGTCTGTTTATTTGTTACGACTTTGAAAGGAAGGTATTTGTTGAACAGCAATGGGAGTAGGGGCAAGTGAAACAGTAAGATGTCTATTAACTTGAAGTTGATAGCTAGGTAAATATTCGTTAACTGTCAACACAAGTTTGTCAAGCTCACATTTCTAGTGGATGTAAAAAAATCATTAATAAATGGCCTCCAGTACCTCTGGTCTGCAGCCAGTGAAATTCCTTCAGCCATTTATCCAAAGATTTGCCATGTCTGCTACCCATTGCCATTATCTCAGCCTAAAAATATACCTATTCACTTGAATACACAACACGTGTTTCTTCGTGTGAGAAATCAATTCAAAATGGTGGATGCTTATACAATTGTCCCGGATGTACAATTGTTCTGAATTTTGTGATCGTGATCTGTTCAACTTTTTCTTCATTTCTCAAACAACAGGAACTAACTGACTTGTCAAGGCTAATGTAATAAGTTCTCCAAGTAGGCTTTTACATCCTGGGATGCATAACTATTTTGAAAATACACTTTTGAGGATTTTTTTTGGCTAAAAAATGCACAATTTCTGAGTTACATTCATACAACAAGTTACATTCATACAACCCATATTCTCTCAACCTATCTTTTTTTAAATTTTTTTTTCTCCTCGTCTATTGCCCAGTCATGTTATCCCTTCCTTGTGCCCCCCCCCCTTTTTTTGTCTCTCTTTTCTTCTTTTCTGTTCTTTAATATTTTATCTCGCTGATTTGTATGTGATGTTCTTCAGAGGGAAACTCTTGTAATTATTATGGCGCAAGTTTTAGCCTGAAGGGAAGCTGGTACATCTTGTATTGTAAAGGTAAACTAAACTCAAAGATAGATCTATTAAATGTATACTGAATTTGCATTTGTTACCATGGACAGTGCTCCAAGACGTGGCTACATCACTATGGTTGCTGTGGCAATGGGAAAAACTTACTGACGTTGCATTCTAAAAATTCACAAATTTGGCTTCCAGTGCCATGCAAAAGATTGACCATGCATTAAACATATCTTTTTGATATAATCACTTAGGGTATTTTCCATTCAACCAAAGATTGCAGATTTTTAAAACAAGGGAAAATATAGTTTTGAAATGTTCTTGTTATCAGTGCTATTCACAGCTACATGAGATATACATGTACAGTTACATGCATTGAACTCATGAGAAGGACTTTATGTTTCACAACTATGCTGTTAGTGCTATTTAAAAACTCTAAATGAGGGAAAAAAGTCAATGAAGAGTTTTCTGTTTTAGAGTTGAATCTGAATTGGAACATGAGATAATCCTCTTTCCCGAGTGGATCAAGCAAACACTTTGTCAACAAAAATTCGGAGATTTTGTTCTCTGTTTTTCCGTTTAGGGCCAGGAATACCTGAAATAACATTACGTAGTACAACAAATCCCGACAAAGGTAACAGTAACTTGTCTTGAGGTTCAATTTCAGGTGTGTTGTTTTGTGATACAGTGAAGAATGTTAACAAATATCAAGCCACTTCAGTATTTTATCAGGTTTAAAGTGCTTACTCCACCTGGTAAAAGATGCACCATGAAACTATTTAATGACTTTTTGTATCCTTGTATGTCCACCAGTTGATACCCTTCAAGACAACAGTGCCCTACGAAAGAGAATGGAGGGCGTGGTTTTCCCCCAAATAGTTAATTACACGGTTAAAAGTGACGGCTATGGTAAGTTGTTGAGTGTGCTAAAATACTCTGTACCTGTGTGCAATATACATGTGCCATTTAAAAGTCGTTGATCAGCTTATTTCAGAATTGACATTAGCAGCTATGAAGGGGTTATATACTCATTTTAAGAAAAATAACATGAAAACGCGAAAATGTAAAAGTTTGAAAACGTGTCATCTTTGAAATATTTCTATTTAGCTGTACCCCTAAACTGTACATGTAGCTTATTTTGCAGTTCTTAGTGCATAGCTTGATGTGGAACATATGCATCTAAAAAATGAAACCTGATAACTTGTGGGGTTGCAGTTTCATGACTTCAATGAGTAGATCTTTACCAGACAATTTTAATAATAATTGCGTTCACGTAGTGTAACGCAGTCCTAATCCAGTTTGTATCGAGAATTTTTCTTACAAATTTTTCTTTGTTCGATGATTTGCCCCCCCCCCCCCNCTGCATGTATTTTGACCCGCTAGCCTTCGTCAGCAAGTAACTAAAGCCTGCGTCATTAGGAAAGAATGTTTTGTAGCTTGGCGACGGCAAATGGCCCTGAGTTGTGGTTAGAAGACAAATCTTCCGTGTAGCTCGGCAAATGACCATGATGACCCTCAGATCTGTGGTCAGGAAATAAATTTTGCGATTTGTAGCTCAGCAAAGTCGTTGTGGTCATAACTGGTTGTCAGAAAACAAACTTTCCGTGTTTTGTAACTCGCCAAAAGGCCGTGTTTTGTGGTCAGAATGGTTAATTCACCTTTTTCATTTGTGAAAACAAGATGTAAATTCAAGCAATGTAAACAAATAGAAACACAAAATATAATTTGGCGACGCGCTGTTTTGCGGGGTCGCTGGTCAAAACTTATTTTCTCAAGAAATATTTGTTCCAAGTGTTGGCGATCTGAAATTGAATTCTAAGTGTCGCCAAGAGTTCAAATGCCTTGCCTGGAAAATATTTTGCCCAGTACAAGTAAATACTTACTAACTAAAGACACTTTTACCACAATATATAATCTACTCACCCCTAGTTCAACTTCACGTGCAGATCGTTATCTGTCAATTGAGCAAACTTAGTTTCAAACGTCACCAAAGTAGACCAAACATGCAACGTATATGCGTGAACTCACTGCTCTAATTTTTGATGACTACTAGTGATGATAAATATTTAAAGATATTTATGCAGGATGACCAATTCAGTTATAAAAATGTTATCAACATGGGTCCTGCGTTCTGTATGGCAAAAATGCATTGAATTCTATCAGTTCACAAAGTTGTGTGGAACATGACGCTGTGTGCCAGTTGGCACTCTCAGGGAGTAAAGAGTAAAAGGCATATTACTTTTGTTCATAAATTAATGGGGTTGTAAGTTTACAATGGAGCTTTCTTCATTAGTATTATCATCATGTGAGAGAATGTCAATGATGAGAAGGTCTAGAAGGTTGCGAGAAATCTTTACGTGTAGTTTACTGGTTGTAAAATTGCGTTGTTTATTCTTTCTTTGTGATTTCTGTCATTGCAGTCATCTATGTAAAGGAATACCGCCCTCCCAACTTTGATAACAAGAAGAAATATGCTGTGTTGTTTTCAGTGTGAGTATTTCGACTGGTAAACTTGGTTAAGACACTACACCACAGTACCTGCCCAGTCTGCATGAATTACAGTGTTGTTCCAATATTGGCACTGATAGGGCGGCGTCATAAACATGCTGGCAGAGGTTAACTACCTGCCTCGGGCTAGTGTCCCATCTTGGGGGAATTAGTAATACTCGTAATCGCCTCATGCTCCAGAACCAGGGATTAGTTGTAGCCTGATCCATGAGCCAGCTATTTGTAGGGCTGTTGGCAAACTAAATTCTTTACCACAGCTACTTGCATATTTGCATTCTTTCAGGATATTTTGTGTCATTAATTGGTTTTGAGGTGTTTATCCTAAGTCAACACTTAAGCAGCTGTAAGATTTAGCTACTCTAAAAACATCGAGGTTTGAATTTGTTTACTAAGAAATTCTTAAAAATGGTTTGACTTTTCTCTCGTAATATTATGTATTATTAGGAGCACTGACGTATGGAATTAAACTGCTATATTAATCTTGGAAGCGTTTTGTTAATCTAAACTCTCATTAGTTATTTTAACTAGATTGCTTAAAAAGAAATGTTATCATGTAACGAAACAGTGCAGTTTAACAAAACAAAATATTATTCAAACACATTTTAATTTAATATTTACAGGTATGGTGGACCTGGATCACAGAAGGTATTTCAAACAATTGTAACTACATTCAGTAGCAAAGCCCTATTACAAACTTGTTGAATATCTAATTATTTTAGTTAACCCAGGACTATGCTGTTTAACAACCCTCTTGAGGGATCTGTTGTTGTATGATTTTCGTAGTTTATGTGACACAGTAACGGCTTTTGGCTCGAGTTTTGGGGAAGTTTGAAATGATCGAGGGTTGGAGAAATTGGGAAGCCACCGAGTCTATCATTGTCAGAGGATGAGATTGTATTAAATTATTGTGACGTAGTTCAACAGTCATTAGTCACCCAAATTTAAATTCAATTCGATCAGGATAGAGGACCTACTTGAAAACCAGCTAGGGCTGTTGTAGCTTCCTCTCCAAATATTATAATTTATTAATTTATTTTAATTTAACCAATTTTTAATATTCATCTATGCCATCACTCAAATAATAAACTTTTCAAATAAAGTTGTAATAACAAAGATTTTGCAGTATTGTTTTTGTATAATTTGTGTTGTCTTATCGTAAACAGGTTGTGGATAGTTATGGGTATGGATTTGACAGTGGTTATCTAGTAAGCAACTATGACTTGATTGTGGTGAATGTCGATGCGAGAGGAACTTGCTGCAGAGGGGAAAGGTAAGTAATAGTGTAACAGCCCGACTACCCTACCCCACCTTAAAAAAAAGAAGAAAGGGAAAACAATTTTAGTTGCAGCCATTTCGAGAAAGGTTTTCCCACAGGAGCGTACAAGCAACAATGCTGAAAGGGATTTTGAGGATAAGTCATTTCCCAGTTACCTTAGAATCAAAAATAGGCTACTANTCATCAATAAGAGGACAGACGCATAAAAAACTGACGTCAATTTGTTTTTTACAATAACAAGACCCCAAAATGGTCAAATGCCGGGAATAAATGAGGGCAGAAGATGCCATAAACAAAGATATGTGACGCGTACATTGTCTGTAGCTTTTCTCGCTTTTGGATTGGCTATTTATAAAAGTCCATGCAATCTCATTGGTTAAAAAGTTGACAGTTTGACAGCTGAAAGTTGAAACTGAAAGCTTGCATAAATTAAAATTTTATCCGTCTGTACTCTTATTGCTGATAAAAATGAGCCAATCAGCGCGCGAGAAATGAGACAGTTACTGTAAAATTTAATTTCTACTATAAATTTCCTTCTACGGCCATAGCTATGAATTGCAAATTAACTTGCCACAATTCTTTGCAGAATACTTAGTCTGTCCTAATAATTAAGCGAACATTTTCATTTCTCTTAATGCAGTCGTATGGAGGATTCTTGACATCGTATGTGCTTGGTGTGAATTCTGGTGTGTTTAAAGTTGGGATGGCTGTGGCTCCTGTCACTGACTGGCGGTATTATGGTGAGTGTCACGTGAACGTCATGCAGTGTAGTATGTCCACATCTTCTACTTTGAACAGAACAGCTATTAGTGTGTGTGGCAGGAGGCTTTACATGCATATTTATAATAACTGACCTTAATTATGTTAAAGAAGTATAGTTTAGCAGATGTTTTGCGTTTCTATTTTTAGATGTAAACATTGAAGTTTCTGTGAAGGAACTCATTTCACATGACGTCCTACGTTTTTCAAAATGGATGTCCTGTTATGACATGCTATGAAAACAGCAACATGTTTTTTGTTCCTTCAGTATAACTGTTTATTGTATTTTGCAGATTCTATATACACTGAGCGTTATATGCTCACTCCACAACAAAACCCTCGAGGATATGAGGTAATTTAAATTTGCTCTCGTGGAACAGTTTTTGGTAACGTTGAAAAACTACAGTGCGGATTAGTTTGTTCAACTTACGGCAGTTTTCAGTGTGGACTAGCATTAAAATTCTGATCTATATTTATTGTTAAAATACTGTAGTACTTCTTTAAAACCAGTGACTTGCTGTGGCATGTTGTGGTGTTCGGTCTGTGGCCCGAAATCAATACCCTGGAAATGTTGTGTAGTTTAATGCCGTTAATGTAACTCGCCTGGAGACCAACATAAGTTGATGCGAGACCCAAAGAGCAGCTCAAGACCGAAAAAAGAGGAAGGCAATAGTAGATGTCCTAATTGTGCCCCATGGAACATAGAGGACTAGACGATGATGATGAATGGAACTCGCCAGATATATAGCGTGTCTTTGTTTTCTCCTGCAGATGTCAAGATTAAGTGAAAGATTAAGATGCGTTCTCGCGATAATAAACATCACGATGTCTCCCCTACTAAAAAATGTTCTTTACTGGACATTTACTAGATTTTTTTTTTGCCAAAACACATAATTCTGTCAAATACACCATTGTTGAATAACCCTGTAAAACTCAGTAAACCATATTCGTATTCAAATCTTGCCATGTAGTTGAGCCCCTCTAGGTGTTAAGTTTTCAGGATTAAGTAGAGAATCAAAAGTAACACTCGTCATTAATTTATTTCAGACGTCGTCCGTATTACCTATGACAAAGAATTTCGAAAATGACAGTTTTCTTCTTGTTCACGGGACAGGAGATGGTAAGTTAGGTCGTATTCATAGAGGTTTGATGTTAGAAGAAAAGAAATTTCACACTCTCTTAAGGGTAAAGGCTAAAAATACTGCATAGCATCTGCATAGTTAAACCCGAAATGATGAATTAGGTCTTAAAATAAATAT